TCCCTTCCCTGGGGTCCAGGGTGGGAGCAGTCCTCCAATAAGATTCACACACAGATTCTCCTCTGGACCCCTGGCTTCCCGGGTGGGAGGGGGACAGGAGGGGCAGCTCCAATCCTGATTTTATCCCAACAAACATTCCCGCCTAATTAGTATTCCAAGGAGAGCTGGCTCCACAGGCCCTGGGATTTGTTTGCCAGCCGGCCAGTTCCCTGTCTCCCCAGTTCGAGTGAGTAATTCCGTCCCTCCCAGGCCCATTTAAGGGAGTGAATAATTAGTTACATTCAATTAGGCCTCTCGCCACCGTGGCTCCTGCCTGCCTCACTTGGGGGCACAGGCGCACTAATGAGATGGCACATGTCTGACACAGGGAATGGGTGTTAAAGACAGACTTCCCCCAAGCCCCTCCACTGGGCCAGCGGTGTGGAGGGAGTAGAGAGGAGAGGAGAGGAGAGGAGAACCTCAAGGTGGGGTGCTGGGGATGAAGGCAGGAGCAGAGGGGAGGGGGAAAGAGGTGGACTGAAACCAGGAGATGGGAGAGGAGCGTACAGAGAAAAAGCAGGAAAAGTAGAGAAGGCAGGAAGGGACCCAAGAAGAAGAAAAGCAAAGAGAGAAGCCACCTGAAAGTCCATCAGTATGGAGCCCTTATATGAATCAGCCTCCAACTGTACAATGGAATCCTATGCAATTAAAAAGCACGTTGTCTATCTATATTTATTGGCATGGAGAGTCGTCTGCTATATACTGCTAATCAAAGAAGGCTGCTTACACAAAAATGTATGTATTAATGGCTCTAGTTTAAGAAATATTTTTGGCACAGGAAACAAGTCTGGAAGAACCTGTAACTGGTGGTTGGCGGGGGTGGTGGGGAGGCTTACAGGTGGTCTTATTTTTCTGTTTACTGCTTGGCTGGGGTGTGTGTGATGCACAGGTATGACTTCTGTAATTACCAAAACAGTCACACTGGTTCAGAAGAGAACAAGGGTGAGAAGGAATTGCTGGGAGAAGGGAAAAGAAGTGGTTGGTCAAGGAGCAAGGCAGAATGCAAGGAGGGGGTCCTGCAAGGAGGAGCTGCAAGGAACTAGCTGGGTGCCAAGGCCCAGCAGGATGTGCCAGCCAGAAGGGAGAGAAGCAGGGAGCCCAAGGGACTGGAGGCGAGGAATAGAGGAGCAGCTCCCCCACCCCCAGTCTCCCGCCCACTGGCCCGTCTGTGGCTGATCTTGCTGAGTCCCTCCCAGAGCCCATCTGCCCCCTGACAGGGCTCCAGGGCCCAGCGGGGCCTCTCCGAGGAGTTTCCCCACCCCCCAGACTCCAGGCCCACAGCGTGGGTGTTTTTTTTTTCTTTTTTTACTAATTAAAACCGTATCTCCCTACCCCTGGAGGTGGGTTTGTAATTTTCTGTGCCAGAATCACTCTGGGGGAGAGAAATCCTTCCAGGCAGAGTCTTTAATAACTTCTGCTGCCCCAGGAATCCTCTGCACGGCCCCTGACGGATTTAAGGGAAGGGTATGTGCATGCCTGGGGGTGGCTGGGACCAGGTAGGGGGTGGGAGGTAGATGTCATAGAATTAAAGGGACATCAACACCCAGCCCAGTCCCAGTCCCAGGGTAACTCCTTCAGTCCAAGAGCTTCAGTGCCTCTCCAGTAACCAGGTGGCAGGGTGGAGCCTAAGGCCCCGGGGGGCTCTGTCCAGCCTCTAGGCTGGGGTGCTGGAGAAAGGAGACAACGTGCCTTTGGCACACTCCTCACTCAGCTCCAGACCCTCCTAAGGCCTCAGTTTCCCTATAAATGAAACGAAACGGTTGTCCGCCATGAAGCTCCCAGTCTTTCAGTCCCAACCCTCTGAGACATGCTTTCTTGGGATCTTTTTTAAAAAACATCTGCAGCTGGTAGTGCTTAAACAGTGGGAGATTTCACGTGGGAATGTGGATTCCCAGCAGTACACAACTCTCACCCCTGCAGGGCAACCACCAGAAGGACTGATAGATGCTGCGCCCACGGAGAGGCAGAGCGTCTCCACTTTGCCAGAGTCTCTGCCATCCTGACTCCTGATGGGGCCTGCATCCCTCTCCAGCTCCTGCGCCAGCAGGTTTGCAACCCCTGCCCTGCAGGTCAGCTACTCTGCTCTGAGTTTTCCCTCTGTCCTGGAAGCCACACTGTCTTTTAATGGTGTGTTACCATGTGTCTGTTTCCCTACTCGCTGAACAGGTAAAAACCACAGGCTTTTGGGTCAGCCTGGTTAGATCCAAATCCTAATTCTGACTCTTCAGATGGTGGCACGTCATTTAGCCTCTGAGCGTCATCTGTAAGATGGCTGTTAGGAGAGATTGTGCCTTATGTAGGGCTGTCCTACAGACTAAGACATTGCATGCAGAGTTCTGAGCCCTGTGCCTAGCACATAGAGAGCACTCGATCCACTGAGTGCTGTCACTGCGTACAACCAAAGCTCAGGATGAGGCCACAGTAGGGATGCAAGCGATGCTTGTGAAATGAAGGAAACAGTGAAGAGGGAGCCCTGGGGAACAGATGAAGAGGCAGAATAGGAGTTGCAGGAGGCTCAGGCCGGAGGCGGAGAAAAGGCCTCAGAAGTAAGGGTGGGAATGTGGTGTGAGTTGGCAAAAGCCCGCGGCCAGGGTCTTGGATGTTACCTTGGCGCCACCTTCTGGCTGATAAATGACTCACACCCACCCCCTCCATCCGCAGGCCAGAGTGGACCCCTATACCCTATTGGGTTGTCTTCACTTTTTAGAATTGGAGGAACCCTAGAATTCCTAGGGCCCCAGCCCTTCATCCCACACCTGGGAGAACAGTGTCCAGAACCAGACAGTAATTTTCCCAAGGTCACAGAAAGTTCCTGGCTAAGCTCCATTAGAATCCAGAACTTGCTACAGCTGCCAAGAATAGCAATCCCTTCCCTTTGTCAGGGACACTGAGATGCACAAAAGTGTCCTTATGCGTGAGCTCTGCTGGCTCTAGGGGAACTTCTCTCAGAAGCAGCCTGTGACAAAGAAGGAATGGACGTAGTTTATTCAGGAATTGAACTCAAGAAGCACCAGTGGGTAAGTGAGGCAGGAAAGAGGAGGACGCCAACAGAGAGGGGCAGCTGGGGCTTCATCCTGTTAAGGCACCGAGGAGACAGTGTGGACCACACTTCAGATTTGTCCATCCCAAGGGCAAGGGAGCTAGGGCATTTATCCTCCAACTTTCATTCCTAGTTGGTTGAGAATATTCTGGAGCACTAACTCCTGCAGGTGCATCTCACCTGCCCCCGACCAGCACAAAGCATGTTTTTGGAACCAGGGAAAGCCCCAAGGCAAGTGTCCAAGTGCTTACAATAGGAAACTGACTGATTCTCTAGAAAAATGAATGCCACGAGCAGTCATTCTCAAAGTGTGGTCCCTGGACCAGCAGCATGGCATCACCTGGAACACGTGTTGGAAATTCTTGAGTTCCATCCCAGACCTACAATTGGAAACACGGGCGGTGGGGCTCAGCAATCTGTCTTTTAACAAGTCTTATTAGCAGTTCTGATACATGCTCAAGATTAAGACCCTCTAACCTGGGAGAAAACGAAGGATGTATCAATAGTATCTGCTATGGGTATTGACTCCATTTGCCAGATGAGGAAACTGAGGCACGAAGAGATGAAAGTGGCCCACCCAAGGTTACACAGATAATAGGAGCAGAGATGGGTCTTTTCTCTCTTGCCACCATACTACCAATAACAGAAGTGACCTATACTAGCATTTGGACTCTAGGTAGAGGATAGGGTGAGACCCCCCAAGTTCCCCTTCCCCACCACTGGGCTCCACTATCTAAACCGCACTTCTCCATCTGGTGCATCCAAATGGTTCCTGAGGCTCTTTTGGGAAGGCTGCCAAGCCAGGTGCCCCTGTCCTGGCTCCTAGCTGCCCTCACAGCCTCCACTGGAAACAAACCCTCCACCCCTACCCTGTAAAGCAGTTTCTTTTGGGGGACAAAGGTTGAGATCCCTGAGTTAAAGCAACCTGGCCTCATCTTCACCTTGAATCTTTGTACAGGGGCTTTGCATGGCTCTTGCTCCCTCCTCCTCCTGTCTCCAACCTTCCTCCCCACCCCTCCCCTCTGCTCCCACTCCATCTGCTGCTCCTCCTGGCTAGGCTCCCCCTCAGTTGGCACAGCAGAAAAAGAGAACAGGGTGGTTTATTTTTATCCTAAGATATTGCTTGTGGCAGGGCGGAGGGGGGCACCATCTGACCAAGGAGCAGCAGTTCCTGTAGCAGTTGGGAGGTCAGGAGGAGGTGGCAGGAGCACCCCAGGAAGGAGCTAGAGATGTAGGTTCCAGACAACAGACACGTCCAGAAGCAGCACAGGACCAAGAGCGGGGAGCTCCGAGTGGCACCACCAGGAACTGCTGTGTGACCATAGGCAAGCTCACCTCTCGGGGCCTCCATTTTCACCTCTTAAAGGAGGGATGCAAGCCCTGCCTGCCCCATTTTTGTGAACAGGAATACAATGAGGAGAGCACATTTTTTTGTAAACCTGATGCCAAATGTGAGCACTCCACGAAAACCACCCTGGAGGGGTAGGAGCCTGGGGACATTCTTATTTACCTCAAAAATAATACCCCTAATTCTGTGAGTCTGACAGCGAGTTAAACAGCTCATGTCACCCAGCTGTCTACCCCCATTTTTCTTTTTACGACGACTTTTTAATTATACAAGCATTATGTGAATTCACTCTCTCCTTTTAGGAGAAAGAAGTCTTATCTTCCATTAACCAACCCTTCTTCCCTAACCCAGACATTACAACTCTTTCAGGACCTGTGTTTTCTATGGATGCCTTCAGACCCCTTGGTATGCCTACATATATATGTGTAATTTATGTTTATGCACATGTCCATTGGGTGATACACCATATTGTTTTGGAATATGTGATTTTAAAGAAATGTTTCCATACCCATTATTCTGCAACCTGCGTTTTTTGTTTGTTTTTTCCACAACAGCATTTTTGAGATCCCATTGTATAAATATATCACAATTTTATTTAGCCACTCTCCTGTTGACGGACAGCTAAGTGGCTCCCCATAGTTCACTATCACAAGCAATGTTGCAGTGGATATCCATGTGCACAGAAACCACCAGGATACATCTCTGGGCACTGGACTTCTGGGCTGGAGGGTTCAGTGGTATTACTATGTGGCCCCCAGAAAAGTTTTGCCCCCATCTTTAAAAGTAAGTTTGAAGACCGAGTGGGCTCCAGGGCTGGGTGAAAAGTTCTTTGAGATGAACTGTTTCTGAACTGCAGGAGTGCAGGCGGGTGAGGGCCATGCCCCGTGCCCTCATGCTACCACAGGGGTAGCAGCTCCAGGCTCTCCGGCCACATGCCATTTGCCCGTGCTGCCATGTTCCCAGGCACACACAGCCTCACTGTCTCTCCTGCACCGAGATGCGGCTCTCTTTGCCGTCCTCCTGGGTGACGGGCTGGCATCCATGTAAGGTCTCCTGCACGGGGCCACTGGAGTCGGTTTGGACAGGAACTTCCTCTACATAAGTTGTCTCCATAGGACCCTGCCATACAAATTTAGGGTGCCGCGCCTGGGGCGCCAAAGCATGAGGTTACCCCCACCAACACCTCTGAGGACCCCTTCCATCAGGATGGGATCACCCACACCAAAGCCCTTTTCCCAAATTGAGGGTCAGTCTTGATTCCACGGGTGCCTCCTGCCCCCTGCTGGCCACACTGAGGGAGTCAAGAAGATTCCAGAGTAGGAGCCAGTGGGTTCAAGGAGTCACCCCTTCAGCCCCCATCCATTGGCCCCACACCAAGGCCCAAAGATGTTCCCCATGGCTTGAACACCAGGAAAGAACAGTAGATGTCAGACTTTGCCAGTGGTGCCAGGGTAGCTCTATGGGGAGACGGCTCTGGAGGTGACAGAGTGAAGACACAGCACCCGGGAGCGAACACCGGGCTAGGGCGAGAGGAGCCCATTCACCCCACTGCGGTTACCCACTGGCCATGGGCGGACGTGGGACCAGTTTTACTGCCATATAGACAACGAGTCCATCTTTCTTTCCATTTTGACAAAACTCTGAGCTGGTTCCCAGGGGAGACCTACCTTATTCTGTGGCTTCTTGGCCACCCTTCCTAGAGAGAGAAAAAAAAATGAGAAGGGGAATTGGTGAGGCCAGACCAGCAAACAGCTGTGCACGTCTCCCTCCCTCCCCCATCACCTCCCCTTGTGGCGACTCACCAATACAGGCAGACACCAACAGGACAGCAAACAGGACCCCCATGGCAACAGGGATCACCACCAGAGCCCTCATCCGATCCCGGAAACCTGGAGAAACCAAGACATCAGCAGTGGTTCTCCAGCTACAGCGTTTCTGCACCCCCAGGTGTGAAGCTGTGTGCCTTGCATACTCTAAAGCCCTCCATAGTGTCAGAGCTCATCCACGTCAGAGGATTCAAGCAGTGGTCCTGGGGAAATGCCACCAGCAGATGTCTTTAGCGTGGCCAGAACATTTTGAAAAAATATCTTTGAAATATTTCCCAACATTTTTAAATTGGGAGGTTGCATATTTAAAATCTGGATATCTGGTTTCTCTTAGAAATTTGGACGATCCAGCCCCTGTGGGCCAGCAGCCCCACCTGGCACCCATGGGCCAGAACTGAGTTCTGTCTTCACCCGCTTACCATGCTCCCCACCCCACCCTACTCTCTACCCCAGGCTGAGGTCCAGCATTCTTTAGGTCTGCACTGTTTGCTGCCTTTGTTGTAGAAGAATGGAGGGGAAAATAAAGGATTTCTTGTACCTAAGTCTCTATTCCCAGGGGGAAAATGCAAGAAAGACCCAGAGGTAGGGCAGGGACCAGGGCGAGGCAAGTGAGGCACTTGCCTGGGGACAAAATTTAAGCGGACACCAAAACACTCAGTAATCAAAAGAAGCAATAATTTAATGTCATGTTTTGAAAATTTGTATCAGCAAACTATGGCCTGTGGGCCAGCTGCCTGTTTTTTAAATAAAGTTTTATTGGAACCAGGGCCAAGATTAGGCTGAGGCAAGTGAGGCAAGGTCAGGCAAGTGCAGGGCCAGATGTTTTTATTTAAAATTTTGATATTTTGTTAATTATGGATTTTTTTGTATTAAGTTTGATTTTATTTTTAAATATTGCATCAAAATATTATTTACTTTGATTCCTGCACTTTTCCGGCATCCCCTTAAATATTGTGCCCAAGGCAAATGCCTCAATCACCTCATTTCAGTCTCAGCCCTGCCAGGTGTTAAGTGAATTTTTAAAAAAAAGAGAGTTAATTTTTCTTACCCCTGACCTTTTTCACTCATTAACATGACCTGCTTAGTCCGTATAGTTGAGCCTGTGATATAAGCCAACCTCTTCATTCTAAAATCAAAACTGAGGCCCTCAGAAGAACCAGTGTCATACCATGTAGGTACCTGAAGCAAGGGGTGGCAGAATAGCATGGATGGGGCACCTCCAAAGTGCAAGAATCCATGCCAGGCACTTATACCAACTCACTAAAGGGGGTGCTGTTATCACCCCATTTTACAGATGAAGAAACTGAGGCTCAGAAAGAGGAAGTGACTTGCCCAGGGCTCCACAGATTAGTGGCAGAGCTGGGATGTCACAACCCCAAACTGCCTCCTCCTCTCACATCACCTACCCTCCCTCTTTCCCTACCTACCAGAGGGGGGGATCTCTGCGTGCCTCAGTCTCCCCCTTCAGTTCCCCAACTTCCTAGCTTGCTGCCAGGGCCCATTCACCAGGACTCACCACAGACGGCATCTGTCTTGTCAGTCCCTGGCTGTAGCTGCACCAGGTTTTTCATCTCACAGCTGTGTTCATACATGTGTGCATACACACACACACACACACACACACAGAGGGAAAGAAAGAGACATAAGTTTTCCCATCTATAAATTTCCAATCCCAGAGGGTGACAGTCAACAACCAATAGGTCCAGGTTTACTGAGCACATATTATGTGCAATCTCCTATACTGGTTATTATGGGAATGACACAGACTCTGTCCTTATGGAACTCATGAGTGCAGAGAAAAGAGTATTACATATCTTGGAGGAGTAATATACAAGGGTCTCTAATGAGTGCCAGGTTTTGTGATATAAGCTAAAGTGAAATGGGAATGGTTCAGAGAAGAGGAGATCAAATCCACATTGGCTGGAATGAAAGATGATGAGGTCAGCATAAGGCAGGGCTTCTCAACTTCGGCCCTCCTGATGTTTGGGCCATATAATTCCCTGTCATGGGGGCTGTTCTGTGTATTTAGGGTGTTTAGCAGAATCCCTGGCTTCTACCCACTAGGTGCCAGTAAAAGTCCCCCAGTTGTTACAACCAAAATGTCCCTTGGGAAGAAAAATTGCTCAGTTGAGAAACTGGTTTAAAGGTTGTCCAGAAAAGCTTCCCCGGGGAAGTAAGATCTGAGAGGGCCCTGAAGGATGTACAATGTAGAGCAGCAGTACACTCTAAGCAGGACAATGTGATACAGGGATTAGGTGGGTGGCATGCCAGATGTGTTAGGGAACTACGGAGAGTTTGGTCTTTAGAGCCAGATCACTGAAAATCAGTCATGAAGGTCTTGACTGGATTTGGCTAGTGAGTTGCATCAACATCCAACCAGAGGACCTAAGTAGTGAGAGGACTCAGTTGGCCAGAGAGCTCATAGGAGGAGAAATTACAGAAAAGTGCGCAGCCAGGAAGCTATTGCCAGAGTCCAAATAAGAGAAGATGAAGACCTATTGCAAGGTGGTCCCACGAGTTGGGAGGAAGGACAGAGAAAGATATCACACACACACACACAAATCTAACATGGGAAAAAGAAAGAGGAGTTTCAAAGAAAGTACATGTAAGAGGAGAGGCTTACATGAGAAGAGGGCTTACGAGTTTATAAAACACTCGTATATAAACTTGAGTCTTTTCCTCAAGCCTTGTGAGATAAAGATCATTCCCATTTTCCAAACGAGGACACTGAGGCTCAGGTGAGGATCATGCCCTTTCTAAGCTGCAGTGAGGCTGGAACCCAGTGCTCTGAGTCTACGACACCAAGGTGCCTCCAGCTATCATTCAATGTTTATCAGTAAAGATTTATTGAGCACCTACTATGCATCAGACATTGTTCTAGGCATAAGGAATGCATCAGTAACAGAAAATAAAAGGCCAAGTCTACATCTAAGGAGTTTGCAATATACTGGAGAAAGGCAGACACTAAACAAATAATAAAGTACATATAGGATGCTACTATTTGCATGGAAAACATGAGTGTCTGCTTGTGTGTGCATTTGTTTGTATGCACATAGAATTTCTGAAAGGACACAGAACAAACAGTGGCCACTTCCAGGGAGAACTGGGTCACTGAGGGACAGGGGAAAGGGAAACATCACCATGGGCGCTTTGTGCCTTCTGTCCCATGTGCTATCTTGTCATCTGAGGGAGAGCATAGCTGAAGCCGTGGATATGGGTGAGATCGCCCATGGGAGGCAGGCAAAGTGATCGGAGAGTAGAGCCTAGAATGGCCTAGAAAACTGATTAAGGAGGGAGAAGGTACAGAAAAACAGTAGAAAGAAAGCAAGAGGGGCATCATGGTGCCCAAGAGCTTCACAGAGATCAAGAGGTGAACCATGTCTGTTACCACCAAGAAAGATCAGGCAAAAAAATGCTGAGAAGCGTCCATATGGGCAGCCAGGTCAGTCCCGAAGTTCCACAAGTGCACAGTGTGTGTGGGCATGGGGAGCAGGGACTGAAGGACAGGTGGCCAGATAGAATGGAAGTAGGTCCCATGCCCTGTTGGGGCAGGCAAGGGATGAGTCCTTATACCTTGTCCAAGGGTGACACTTTTCAAAAGCAGATGATATATTGGAGAAGTAGCCGACTGGGCAGGGTTCGCAGATGGTATCAGAAACCCCTGTAGCTGGGAGGGAGGAGGAGGCATTAATCATCACAGTGGACCACTGGTCTGGCTCTCAGGGAAACCAGTGGGCAGGTGGGACAGGAAGAGCTTCCTGCTTTAAGCACTCTTCTCCAGCACACAGCACCCCTAACTGATGTGGCACCAAGGAAGGCTTCCCCCCTGCCCTCCCAAGGCAGATGCCCATTTTCTGGCACCCATTTCCTGCTCATTCTAGCGGAGATACTGATGTAGGCTGGTCCCTCCGCCTTCAAGGCTAAGTGCCCACTGCCTGGCCCCTCGCCTTTGGCTCTCAGCTCCTCTCTCCTGCCTCTAGAGCTGATTGCTGACAGGCCACTTACCCATCTGTTTGACCCCCAGGCCAGGGGGGCACAGACTGTGCAGGGTGCAGCTCTCACAGGCATTGTTGGTACAGTGGTGGCCTTCATCACATGTGCAAATGGTGTCCGTCTGCAAAGTGCCCTCCATCTGAACTTGTAGCCCTAGGTCTGAGCAGAGGTGCACAGGGAAGATGGGAACCTTTTACTGGCCATGCCCAGGGCCCCACTCTTCCCACTTCCTGCTCTTTTTTTCTTAGACCCTCTTCCAGGTGCAGATGGAAATAAAATAATTTAACCACCAATACAACCCAGACTCCAGCCAATCGGAACAGACCCTGACTGTAAAAAATAATGACTGCATTGTCAGGAATGAGCTAGAATTATCAGCCCAGCTCCAAGCGCCCCCTTCCCCAGCAGCTCACGCACTGGGGTCACAGTATTTGTGCTGGTGACAGTGTGTCTCTCTGTTCCAGGTGTCTACGAATTCGCCTTTACTGCAAGGGAGGCATTCTGTGTCAGTGATCTTCGTGCAGTCATTCACCAATTTCTCTCCTGGAAAACATCAGGAAATGGGCAGCTCCAGCAAGCTCAATGAGTCAGACACTCATCAAATACTGATCAGGCTGGGCTTTAAGGCAGGGGATTCAAAGATGACCATCTTGGACCCTGCTAGCCTTCATAGTCTAGTTGGGGCCATGGAAGAGCTAGGAACTGTAGTCCTGGATAGAGAGGAAACCCAGAACATTTCTGACAGCAGGGCAGGGATGGGAAATGCCAGGGGCCGTTTAAGACTGGAGTTTATAGTTGACACACAGGATCTGCATTTGCCAGCAAACCAAGAAGGGGCCCACTATGGGGCAAGAGGGTTGGCATCTCACCTGGCCGGCACAAATTACAGCACTGACTCTTTGTTAGGTATTGGTTTTCTCTGCATGCAGTGGGTGGTTCTGGGTGGACCTAAAAACAGAATTGGGCAGTTTGAAGGGATCTTGATATCTCTCCTATAGTCTCCTTGGCAAGAAGGTGAAAGTCGGCCAGGACAGAGGTTAGAACCTAAGTGGAAGTCCAAAGCAGAAAAATGAAGCCTGAATATTACTTGGTGTATTTGTTTAACTAAACTAACAGATATGATCATAAAAGCACCCAGAAAATCATTCTGATATTTCACAAAGCAGTTGTTCTGGAACCTCACAATATTCTCTGAACTAAACAGATCTTCCTTTTGGCTTGACTCCTGAGTCTTTCCTCTTCCCAAAGACTCAAAGCACATGAGGACACCAGTGCCTTTCCTGGAGTCCTGGTCTTTGTCTGGCTGGAGCTACATTTAGCATCTGGGCTGTTCCCTTTATTCTTCTGCTCCTCAGTCCCTTCCCCCTCCAAGTTTCATCATATTTTCTCTCTTCAGCCCCTCCCTCCTGAAATGCCAGGATTGTGAATCTGGAAGAATGAAATCCAACTCTTTTGCTTTACAGATGGTGAGGCTAAGGACCAAGGAGACGGGGTCACCTGCCAGGGTCACACAGTAATAGCATCCAAATGAAAACTCAGATCGTAGCACTCCCTCTGTCCATTAACTTAGCTCACACCAGCACTATTTTTGCTACATCCAGGCACCACCCATGCAATTAATTACTTCTCGTTAATTTAAATACATTCATTTGTAAACCTTATATCATTGCCTTGAGAAAAGAACTAGTATCACTTCTCATAAATAAAAGGTAACCCTAAAAATAAATTCAACAGGAACAAAACAATGTTATCAAACCCCAGCTGGTTGCTTTGCATGCTGACAGCCCTCCACCCCAGGACTACTCTTGATTTTTATTTAAAAAGAAGGATTAGCAAACAGAGAGATATTAACGATATTCTAACTCCCAAGGCTTCCTCTGTGGAAAAAATGAAAAGAATTTAAATAGAACTGTAAATGGAATCTATGACATTTTGTTCTGTGTTCATGTGGACCTTAAAATCATCCTGTTCTTTGGAAACAGCCAGTGAAAAGAACACAGGTTTGACAGTCAAACAGCTTGCGGCTCCAGTCTCGACTTTGTAGCACTTGCCTGTTGTTTTGCTTCTCTTAACCTCAATTGCCACATCTCTAAAATGGGACTAATACCTGCCATTGGGGCAGGCAAGGGATGAGTCCTTATACCTTGTCCAAGGGTGACACTTTTCAAAAGTCCCCAGAGATTAGGTCATTTTAGATAAGAAAGAATATATGCATATGGTCTGGCACGATGTCTAGAACATAGTAGGTGCTCATAAAATGGCAGTTTGAATTGTCACACATATGTGAGTTTCTGCTTGGATGATGAGCACCCTGGCTAACTGGTTGGCTCAACAGGATCCTACCTAATTGTCAGCTCCCATTCAGCCTGGTGGGCAAAAATAATTATGGAAATGCATCTGTCCCCAAATGGGGAAGGAAGTAGAAAAGGTGCTGCTACCGCCCCCACAAAACAACACACCATCCTATAAAAGTCTTCCCTGCAATGCTGTGGACCTTCCCACCACATTCCCAAAGCAATGAAAGTCTTTTATGCCATTTTCAAGCATGTGAGAAATACAGTTCCCCTCTGAAAGTTTGTCAATTCCCCAGCTCCGATTACATTCCATAGCACCCATCCTTCTGACCCAAAGCTCAGGACTAAGGCTTGGGCAGGCAGGCTCAGGAATCAGACATGTAAATTCATACCCAGGTTCCATCTGAGAATTTCAGCAAGACATTTGAGGCTCCCTCTGAGCCTCAGTTTGCTCATCTGTATAACGGGGGAGAGAAATCAGACTGAGAATACTTGTAAAGCATTTTGCCCTGTGCCTGACACAGGAAACTCTCAATAAATTGCCCCTATTGTTGTCACAGCTCAGGCTCTACCTGGAGCCGAAATTGGGATTATGCCCTTAAGAAGCCCAGACCACCCTTCACCCTGCGTCCAAGGAGGCCTCTTCCCCCACTCCCACACCTGTCCCCAGCTCCTTTCTCTTTCTGCCTCCCTTCCCCAAACAGACATTCATTGCTTAGAGTGAAAATGAAAGTTCTGGGACCAAAGAGCTTCCCCAACCCTCTTCTTCCCTTGCTATCAACAACCCCCACCCCGTGGGTCATTCCCGCCTAGAGTTCATGACAAAAACGACAGCCCTTAAAAGTAGGGAGAGGCCAGAGGGGCTGGGATGAGAGGGTCAGGTACTTGGGGGGATTCCCGGCCTCCAGAATGAGGAACTACAAAAATAATTTAAACAAAAAGTGAGTCAAGTGTGGGCTTCTGAAACTCCCGGAGACATGCTTGGTTGGGCATATCTGAGCCCTCTGGTGCCTGGAGAAACCCCTCTTCTCCTAACCCTTTCTTGGGTCACACGAACTGTTCATCCCCCCCAGGAGTCCCCTATATCATAAACTCAGGAGGCAGACACCCAGACTTGGGTAGTCCTCCTAGGTTGGCTCACCCAGGATTTGGGGGTGGGGTGGCAGCGTTAAAAGCTCCTTGCCCTCTCAAAGAAGTACCTGAGCCTCTGCACCTACCCCTAGCTACCCCTGGAAGAGGGCAGGCCCAGCTGGCAAGGAGATGATAACCACTCAGAAAAGCTGGTTTCTGTCCACAATGGGAAAGGTACAGGAAATCGGCCAGGCCCGCCCCTTCCCTTGGCCGGCCCCCCTTCCCGCTTCAAAACCCTTCACCATCTCTGTGGCCAGTCTCTAAGGCAAACCCAGACACCAGCCTTTTGACCAAATAAAGGCTTGAGGCTTCCCAAATCCCAACCCCATCCGGGCAGTCCAATCACTTTTCTTTCAGTGCCCCCGCTATGCGCCCTCTGTGGGCTACCGGGGACCCCAACTCGGGAGGAGAGAGGCAGCCGGCCTCATTCAGCCAGGACCCCGAGTACCTTACCCACCTTCCACCCACCCTCCTGTCCCCCAAAATCAGCTAGGAAAGGTCTTTTCCCAAAATATTGCTTCTCTTCCCATTCCCCACTCTCAAATCCCCAACTCTCCCGTTGGGTCGGAGCAGAAACAACTCACCGCGGTCAAAGAGCAGGCCCAGAGGAAACACTGCAGAGGCAGGCGAACCATTGCGAGGTGAGAACCCGACGGCGGGAGCAGGGGCGCTGGGACTGGGCCTGCAGAGACGCCCCTGCCTCGGCCCGTGACCCCGCCCAGGGAAGGGGCGTGGTCTGCCGGGACCAATCGCGGCCTGCCTGGCTGCGGGGCAGGGCTCCCCGCGATGCGCTGCTCCGGGATTTCCACAGGACATTCCCAGAAGCCTAATTCCCCTGGGAGTCTAGGGGCGCGCTTGGGGGTGGTCCCAGGGAGAGCCCTTCCACCTCGCCTCCTAGGACTACAAAGGCCAACCTGAAGAAGGCAAAGAGCCAGCGGCTTCCCGGGGGCCGAGGCAGGGAAGAGGGATCCCCACGGCGCGGGAAAGACGCCACAGGGACCCCCACGGTTCTCCCTCGCCGCCGCCGGGAATCGCGGCAGAACCGAAAGCGTCCCCACCGCAGATGGAGAGGCCGAAGGAAGTTCCCCCATCCCAGAAAACGGGAAGGCCACAGCCGGGTGTGCGGAGGAGGAGGGCTGGGGAGGCGTTTCAAGGAAAAGTTTCCCAGCTTAGTTTCGCTGTCTTTCAAAGGAAATTCCCTCGGGTGGGTGCAGCAACCCATCCATCCGTGCATCCATGCGACCCCACCAGATTCTGTTCCGTCCCAGTTCCCATCTGGCGCCTTACAGGCACTTAGAGTAGATCAGCCTTCCTTGAGATCGTAGGACCCCTTGAGAATCTTAGGAAACTCAGGACCCTCTTTCTGCAGAAACAGACACACCTCAGTGCCTGCGTTTCCCGGGATACCGGCTCTCCAAGCCGTTCTTGCACTAGTGTCAACACTCTCTGCCCTGCAGCACGAAACATTTGGGTTCTAGTCCAGGCTCTGCCTCTCATGAACTGAGTTCCTTTGAGCCTCAGTTTTTCCCCAGTGAAACCTTGAACTAGACAGTGGTTGGGGTGGTGACCCTCCAAGCTCTGAACTACTGGGCCAGGCCAAAAGGCCAGACTGCACAGATCAGGCAGGATGGGATAGGCCAGACTGCTGACCACACCCTCCTGGCTTCTGCTGCAAAGACACATTTGCAAGCCTGTGGCTTCTGCCTCTGGAGTCCATCCCCTTTTTCTCATCACCTCAGCCACTAGCCTAATTTAGTGGCTCATCACATTTCACCTGGTTTGTTCCCACAGCCTCACTAATTCACTTAGTGCTTAATGAGCCCCTACTGGGTACCAGGCAACTCCCTCCTCCTCTCCACCTCTCTCTCCCTCTCTCATTGTTCATACTGTTACAGTTCTCTGTGTAACCCCCACATGTGATCTGACCAGGGCACTTCCCTGCTGCAAAACCTCTTTGGGCTTCCTGCACCGGGCTCAAACTCCTCCTGGCACAGCAAGCGCTTTTCCACTCAGCCTCTACCACTCTCCCCACACACACACCCAGCCATGTCCTCCCATGAACACTAGCTGCAGCCATGCTTGCCTCCTCCCCATTTTCCAAACACACAACTGTTTGTCTTACTGTGTCTTCCTTTTCCTTCCTGCTCCCTTCTGGAACCAGTTTAAGGTTTGCCTCCTCCTCAGTTAAGCTTCCTCCTAATTCTCTGAGACAGAGGTAGAGACTCTACCCTACCTTAGCCCCTCCCTGTGTTCCCACATCATTAGTGTGAGGGACTATAACTCCATCTGCCTGCACCATTGAATTGTGGGCTCCTTGAGGGCAGGACTGAATCTATCCCAGTCCTGTGCACATAATAGGATACCAAGACAAGTTTGCCTAAATGAATAAATAAGTGTGCAGGTGGGTTCTGTAACTTCTTATTGTAAACCCAGCTTCCATCAGGAAAGATGGGGGCAGAGGTGCAACACAGACCTTAAGCTGGTGGTCAAACACCAGTAGGGCAGGAACACTTGAAACCCAGGTCCAGGGGACTTCATGAAAGCCACCGAAACATACTCAGGATGAAGAGAACATTAAGATATATTTTTCCCTTCTTAACCCACTTTGAAAAAACAAGCACAGTTAAAAGGCCTGGTGGGGCAGGGTGGGGAGGGCGTTGCTATGATAACTTCAGCCATTAGTTATTCTTTATTTGCTTGATTCCAAAATTGGGCCCTTCACGAAACTGCCTTGGGAAGCAAGTACACAGAATTAAAACATTAATTATATTATATAAAACCTATCATAGCAGCAATTAAAGCAGCTTAAATTAATGTGTGAAAGAATAAATAGTAGCCTTTGGATTGCCCCATGGGGTGAAGACCAGATAAGATAAAGGGAAGATATTTTAGTATATGCACATCCCAAGGAGACATGTGCTGGCGGGCACAGGCCCAGAGAAGGCATAGAATCTTCTTGGGCTGAGAAGAGTATGCTGGAGGAGGAAAGAGAGATGATTATTTATGGGGAGGGTGGCAATATTTCAGAGTCCCAACGAAGAAGGGAAATTTGAAGGATTCCATGAGGGAGTAGGGTAAAGGACATTGAAAAGAGTGGGGATTGAGGATTTTCGACTCAGAGGAAATGGCCTTTGAAGGAGGTGGGGGGCCCCACAAGGCCAGGGTGAATGGGCTAGAAGTGTTCCTGGAAGTCAAGTTCACAGCACTGCCAGAATCTGGTGACCAGATGGTTCTAATGTGCAAACCTGAACATGTTGCTTCCAGGTTTGAAGCAAATCCCCAGAGCCCTCACTCCTTAAGCTCACAGGGCCTCAAGGCCATGGGCTTCCTGGCCTGTATCTCTAACCATCATTCCTGCCTTCAACTTGCTGCCCCAGACTGTGCTACCACCTCTGCCTGAAAAGCCTGTCTCTACTTTCCTTTTCATCAGACAACTTCTCATCCTTCCAGGCTTAGCTCAGGTGCCCCGTCTTGGGAGAGCCCTCTCCAACAGCCAGCCTGGGATGTGCACACCTAACTCCCCATGCCCTCTCAGAACCCTGTGGCTTCTTGCCAAAGCAAAACACCAGCCCTGCCACACTGTATATCAATTATTCTGTTTGCTTGTGGAACCAGTGTACTGAGGCGACTCAACTGGGAGGGGATAATAATGAAGCTTTCCCCCCTAATCTCTGCCTTCAGCCATACTGCATCAAATCTCCCTTTTCCATCTCTGAATGACCTCTTGGGCAGATTGCATTACTTTTGATCACTTTCTGTTGTTAAACCTCCATCCTTGAAAGCTCTGTTCTCAAACTCAATTTAAATCTCGTTTTATCTTCTCCCTAACTCAAGAGTTGCCTTGAGCCAGGACCTTACCTGCTTGGCTAAAAGGTTGGGTTTGGGGTGGCCAGCATGGCTGGTTGGGAGACACAGCCCAGCACCCTCCCCTCTATTGAAGGGGAAGGAGGGAGTGGGAATAGCTCTCTGCAATAGCCTTCTCCCTGTTGGTTGACCTTGCTTCCCTGGCTAACCCAGTGGCAAGTGTCCATATATGCTTTCTCATGGGGCACATGCGTTAAGTTTCTTGGAGGCATTTCCACTGCCGAGTTCTCTAACAGGGGCACCCAGCTCAGGCTTGAGCTCTCCTACCTTGCCCTGCCACCTGGGTTCCTGCCCCTGGTGGGACCTCTTGTCAGCAGTCAGCCTGCTTGGGAGGCATACCAGAAAGCCTGGCTCATTGCTGAAGGGTCCACATGACTCTTGGTCAGCCGCTCCACCACCCTTCTCCCCTGCTCAGATAGGCACAGGGGTGTCAGCAAGTCCACTACCAAGTAGACCCCCATTGCACCCCACAACCCCCTCCTTGCAGTCATCCCTCAATCTCCGTGAGGGACTCCCAGTTAAAGGGAGGGAGGGAATTGTCTTCCACCGTAAACAGTATTCTCCTCAATAAAACCAAAGAACTCCTCCCTCCCCAGGATTATTACTTGGGCAAGGAAGTGGAAATTGAGGTTTCGGCTAGGAGTGTAGGGCCAGTTCGGCCCCCTTCAGTAAGCCTGGGAGGGAAAGTATCTGGCTCCCATTTAGGATACAGGGCTCATAAAACCTGCTGGCTTAATTCCAGACCACTCCCACGCAATACCCTTTGGACTGGGCCATCCCTCAGACCTGACTTGATTCCGGGAGAGGGAGATCTGTGTAGCTGATCACATGCTGGATGCTGAACAAGTGTGTGTAGAGTGAATGTGAGACTATGAAGTGATGAGACTGAAGCGACCTATCAGGATCCATCTGCTCATTCCTGTACCACCTGGGTATTGCCCATCTCCACCAAATGACCCAACTCTCCAGCTAGGACTACCAGGCCCAACTGTGGACAAAAACACTTCCCTTCATCTCAGCATAGTTGGGTTGGGACTTAGGAAAGGGAACTAAGAAACTCAGAAAAGAACCCAACCAGAAATGGATAAAACCTGAGAGCCAAAAAACAGAGGATGAGCTGACAAGTAGAGAGAAGCTCTTATGATCTGATTAAAGCCACATACTAACTTGGCTGATCCTGATTCCTAGACAAGACCTGAGGTCTGTAATAAGAGATGGCTTTTGGGGGAGGAGGTCCAAATTCTTTACCATGGCCTCCAGATCCTGCCTGACCTGGTTTCTGCTGATCTTTTTACTTGCCTACTTGGTTGCTACTCCCCAGCCACCCAGGCCTCCCAGTTCCCATCTCAAAGCCTTTGTCTGTGCTGCTCCCTCTGCCTGAAATGCCCCTCCTCCCACTCTTCATCAGCTGACTCCAGGCAAATGGCACCTCTTCAGAGAGGGCTGCCCTGATCACCTTATCTACAGTGAGGTCCTCTGTTACCAACCACCTTCCCACCTCTGTCCTCTCTTGAAACACCCATTCTAGTCAGGGTTGTCACAGAAAGCAGGAGACGCTGCTCATGGACTTAAATAGGGGAGAACATCATTGGAAGGGTGTCAGGTGGCTCACAGAATTGTTGGGAAGGTTGAAGAACCAAACCCAGGCAGGAACAGCAGGAGGCAGGACACAGTCAAGACTCCACTAGAGAACAGGCCTTACAAACCAGCCTGCTAGCCCCGCAAGACGGCCCCCAGTGATCCCTGCCTCCCGGTCTTCACACGCTTGTGTAGGCCCTCCTTCACTGTACCAGGGTAGGTCCGTGTGACCAATAGAAAGGGGGAAGAGTGATGGTATGTACTTCCAAGACGAGGTTATAAAACTGGGGCTTCAGAGAAGATGTGGTACATATAGACAATGGAATACTATTCAGCCATAAGAAAGAAACAAATCCTACAATTTGCAACAACATGGATGGAGCTGGAGG